GTGCATAAGCCTAATCCATTTGAAAATGCCCACCAACCTGTTAAAATTCCAATCTGTATTCCAGGAAATTTAGGCATCACAAATACCAACTTATCAACAGCAAAGAGATGGCAAAGTGAGTGTGTAAAATTGCTGTACTCAAACTCTCAAGATCTCTCATGGATTTGATGTTTGGGAGATAACAATCCATGGGAACTGTAGACAGTCACATTGAAAGAGAAATCTAGAAAATCAAAAGGGTAGTTAGTTCATTTTTAGAACAAAACTAAGGGAAACTATGAACAATGACAGGCAAGGTTAAGAAATACTGTGAAAGATAAGTAATAAGTAAAAAGCCACTAGATTTTTCCATTTAGAAAATAAGTGTTGAGTCTTCAGTAGAAAGCTGTTGATAAAATGTTGGGAGCTAAGAAGAGAAGAAGACAAGAAAGATTTGGGAGTTGATGGACAGTGGACCATGTGTTTGAGGTTTATTAAAGGAAATAGTAGTTTATAAAATACAGTGAGAAAAATCATTGTGTCTTTTCTGAGGAGGAAATCTGTTTTCCTCTAGAGAGGAAGTTAATAAAAAGACAATAATTGAAAACACAGGTTCAAAAGAGATGGAGAAGGTTGGAATAGATACATTTAACATGACTTCTATATGAGTAAGGGCTCTTGTTTTGGACAGAAAAGAGAAGGTGACAAATGAGAGTTTTAGGGAAAGAACAGGGATTCTGGTGGAGTCTTCATTAGGATCTATCTTCACCTCAAAATAGAATGAGAGGGGTCACTCAGCGGAGAGTAAGAGCAAATGTCAAGTTGAGAATTTGTGAAAACCTGAGAATTGTTTATTGTGTTGATAAAACATATTTAAAAGTTATTTAGGGGCCAGGATTTAGCTCAGTGGTTCCGCCACCTGCCTCGCAAGCGCAAGGACCTGAGTTTGATCCCCAGTAAAAAAAAAAAAAAGTGATTTAGTACTTGTGTTACCTTATCATAAATTATAACACAGGGATTGAACCTTGAAAAATTAAATTTCTTTGTTCTTAATATTCTCAGTTTCAACTACCTGAGAATAGATATATAAGAAAGAAATGTTCATATTTCTTTCTTTTGAATTTTTTATTTGTTTAGTAGTACATGTTTGTAGTATATATTGTTTACATTCTTTGTGGGGAGTTGGTACATGTACATAACACACCTTAATTTATTTTTTTCGTCTTCTTCCTCTTCTACCATCCCCTCTCCCTCTGTCTCCTGTTCCACTTTCCACTTGAGAAAGATATAGCTTCCTACTCCCTGTTATATAACTTTTATTTTATCTTTATTTATAATTTTCATATAAGAGAAACCATGTGATATTTAAGCTCCTGTGTCTGATTTATTTCACATATAGTCTCAAGGTACATCCATTTTCCCACAAATGGCTCAAGTATATCCTTTCTGGCAGAATAATATTTCCATTGTGTGTTTTCTAGTTTCTGTTTTTTAAGGAACCTCCATACTGATTTCTATAGCGGTTGTACCAGTTTACATTCCCACCAAAAATATTGAAGTGTTTCTTTTTCCCCTAATCCTCACCGGCATTTGCTGTTATCTGATTTCTTGATGATGGCCATTATTTCTGTGGTAAGGTGAAATCTCAATGTTTTAATTTGCATTTCTCTAATGGCCTGCAACACTGAACAATTTTTCATGTATCTATTGATCATTTGTACTTCTGAGAAATGTCTGTTCATTTCACTTGCTTATTTCTTTTATTTAGGGGAAATCTAATATATTGAATTCTTCATATATTCTAGATACTACTTCTCTGTCAGGAATAACTGGAAAAATGTATCCTATTCTGTACATTGCCATTTCATTCTGTTGGTTGTTTCTTTTGCTGTACAGAAGCTGTTAAATTTGATATGCCGCATTTATTGGTTCTTAATTTATTGGTTCTTATTTCCTCCACTATGGGGTTTTTTTTTCCTGCACTATGGGGGTTCTTTTCAAAAAATCCTTGCTTATGCCTATGAATTCAAGAATTTACCCTAGTTAATTTCCAGCAAATTGTTTCTGTTTATTACTTGGCTCTTTAATTGACTTTGATTTAATTTAGTACATGATGAGAGATATGGTCTAAATTCAACCTTCTGCACATGAATAGCCACTTTTCCCAGCACCATTTAGTAAAGAGGCTTTCATCTCATGTATATTTTTGTCACCTTTGCAAAAATCAAATAGTTGAGTGTGCTTTGGGTTGTTTCTGTATCCTGTATTGTGTTCCATTGATGCACATTTTTTTTTGTAGCCAGCCATGCTATTTTTATTATTGTAGCTTTATAATAAAACTTCAGATCTGGGATTATGATGTTATGATGCCTCCTACTTTACTCTTGTTACCCTACTTTTGGACTCTGGTTCTCTTTTGGCAACTCATGAATTTTAAGATTGTTTTCTCTAGTTCTATGAAGAATGCTGTTGGTATTTCTTGTAATTGTGTTAAATCTGTATATCAATTTTGGAAGTATGCTCATTTTGTCTATATTGCTTCTGACTATTCAGGAAAATGGAATATCTTTCCATCTTTGATCTCCTTTTTCAGAATACTAGTTTTCATTGTTGAAGTCTTTTGTTGGCTTAGGTTATTTCTTAAGTATTTAATTTTTCTTAATACTATTGTGAATGGTAGTTTTTAAATTTTTCTCTCAGTGAGTTCATTATTGGTGTATAGAAACACTTGATTTTTGTGTATTGATTTTGTATCTTACTACATTGCTGAATTTGTTATTTCTAGGAGTCTATTGGTGTATTTTGAGGGGGTCTTCTACTTAGAGAATGATTATATTTCTACAAGGATAGTGATGTAGCAGAAGGTAATGACCTTGCGGTATTAGAAAAATCATCATTAAAAAGGATCCCTGAGAATAATAAAACAAAGTTAAGAGAATTAAGAATATACACTGACTATCAGGGTGATAGAAAATGAGTTTATTGAGTAGTAAGCAATTCTTTGTTCCCTGTCAAAATTTTTTAAGACTGATGTTCAGAGAGTGGTTCACCAATGTCAAATATTGTACTTTTGAGGTTCAAATACATAATTATATTCACACAACTATAGGATACCCTTTAGCTCCACATATGTTGATCTCTTTTTCTATAGTTAAGTCAGCCTGTGGTATCTGTAGCTTGGGGGTGGCAGTGTTCTTGACCACATTTTTGACAACATTATTCAGTGTAATTTAGTTTTGAGTTTTCTCCTATCAAACTGATTTCCAGAATGAGGGAGGGAAAAAGAGAGGGGAAGAGAAGAAGAAGAAGAGGAAGAAAAAAGAAGAAGGAGGAGGAGGAAGAAGAAAGAAAAAAGAAAAGAAAGAAAAAGGAAGGAAGGAAGAAAAAATAGAAGGAAAGGAAGGAAGAGAGGAGAGAAGGAGAAGAGAAAAGAAGAAAAAACTAGTTAGAGATGAGGATGAGGAAGGTATCATGATTAAGGAGGAAAAAATTAAAAGGGTGGTAAAGGAATTGAAAATGATGAAGATATGTTATATGCATGCACTAATTCACCAAAATGAACAATCATTATTCTATACTGCAAACATAGTCTAAAACATAAAGTAAAATCAAAGTCTAATAGGTCAGTGCCTTTACAAGTAGTTTTCCTTTTACATAATTATTTCCATATGGAAAGGTGGCTCTTGCTAAACCACGAACTGGTTATAAGTCAGTCATACCCAATCATTTTATGAATTTAGTATGGCTGTACATAGATTCTACAAAACAAACTGACTCTTCTTTTGGAACCACCTGGTAAAAAACTGTTAGATTAAAAGAAGAAATTTAACTTGGATTAACTTTTGAGTTAAGAAATGGAGAAATTAGTTTTTTAAATATAAAATCATAATCCTAAACTGGATATTGACCAAATAAATTTGTGTATAACTGAATTCAATATTAAAATTAATAACTAAAACCTTAATATGTCCAAGAAAGGTATAAAGTCGCAATCAACCTAAGAGTTGAGTATAATTGCTGAAATTATTATAATAGTAATTTTTATTTACTGTACTCAGTTTCCAGAATAGGATCTTGACTTATGGATAGAGAATTCTATCCATGGTACAATGAGGTGACAATGGAAAAAGAAAGAATGAGCATTTTGAGGCAGCAGACCCAGAAACTTGGTAAAAAGAAGGCCTGGCTTACATGAAGGGAAACCAAGAAACGTATATGTGAATATGTACGTGCAGCATATCTACTTAAGTACAGCTCTAACTTTGGTGCTCCACAGCAGTTCACAGGTACTCAAATGTTTGGCTAAAAAGTGCTTTGCATGTGACAATTGTGAGTTGTGTGTTAAATCAAGCTCCAAGAAAAGAGTACTTGCTCTGTGGTGCTTTCAATTCCCAAAGAGTATATTTAGATGGCACAGCTGGTGAACTGGTAAAGGCACCTCAGGAAGGCAGTTGTTTGGCTGCTGTGATGGGACCAGTAGTATTTAAATTTTTACATATTCCTCCCATTTAATTTCCACATTTCCCTACTTTCAAAACTTCTCTTTGTTTTGCTCATCCTGTTTATACTTCTGTTAATTCCTTTGCAGACCTCAGATTTTAGGCCCTCCTTCTGGGCTAAAACTCTTCTTCCTCAAAGCCCATTTTAAATTTCCTTAAAGGAGGTAAGATAGGAAAAACATCTAGGACATTAAATATATATTAAAGTTTTAATACACTGGCTGAAATGAATTTTATCTTGATTCCCAGATTCCCTGTTCCCTGAATTCTTAGCATGTGGTGGCATTTCCCAGGGACTGTTTTTAAAGTTGTTCATTGTTATGAACATTTCACCTATATTTTATTTCCCTAATTATACTATTATACAATCTTAAAGCTCAATTCTTTATATTCCATGCTTGCTTGCTTTTTTAAAAAAAAATACAATGTAGTGTATAGCAGAGTTATACATAGAATATTTTGTTAATTTTTGCATGAACAAATAATCTTTCCTATAAAAGTATTTTACCTAATGTATATAATTATCCCTCAATATTTTGTCTTTCAGTTTTATATAAGGTTCATGTAATTCAGTTCACTGACTCCAACATACTGAAATTATAATGTAGTTTTTGTTACGTTGTTGCTTAAAGTAGGAGAGCAGATCAGATTTAGCTATTTTATTGTGCAGTTTTGGAAACAAGACTGTCAGATGACTTTAACTTACTGAAGACTATGAAGGAAAGCAATAGTTACAGGCAAGGCAAAAGCCACATAAATCTTTAGCAGGGCTGACTTCTACCCTAAAATGTGTTGCCTGACTTTCCTTCCCTTGACTGTAGAAATTGGGTTTGTCTAGATTTTCTACAATACAAGTTTGAGGCATAGGAATAATTTCATTACTTCTGAATCTAAGTCACTTTCACACTTAATTCTTCATAAAAGTGTTTTCCGGGGTATGACAAGAATTAAAATTTCTTATGTTTGGACTCTTACAGTAAAGAGGTGGAAAATAGAATTAACTGCAACGAAATGGTGTGTTATGCATCACTTTAGAAATTATTCTCTTTTTTTCTTTTATTGAGCTACAGTTTTTCCTCATGACTGACCTTCAGATGATTCTGAATATTACTTTCTGTCACAGAGCTTAGTAGACCAGTGTCTGGCCTTCCTAGGTTATGAAACTACAAATTGACATTCCTAAGGCTTATGGATGAGGTCATGAAGGTCTTTTAATGGAGACTTACAAATTGAATAGTCAAAATTTGCTATCTGAAAGTTAGCATCCACCTATAATCAAAGTCCATTTGTGCTCTGGCCTTGATAATTTTAGTGATGGCTTATTATGAGCTGATTTTAGCAGGTATCTGTATTCCATAAAAGGCAATACTATTAGAAAATTGAGCAACATAAGAAATATATAGTCATCAACTTTTCATGAAGTTCCTTGAAATATATCAAGTCAGCTGTTCAAGAAATGTTATATTTTAATGGCATACTGAGAGACTGTGTCAACTATTACAACACCACTATCATGTTCTTGCACAAAATGACAATGAACAGAAAGTATATCAGATGGTACTTTCTCTTTATAGTTAGAAATCGATTTTAAGAGACAATGGAGCAAGTGGTTATAAGTATAAAATTTAGAGGAGGGTAAGTGGGAATATTTCAAATGATTATTTTTCTGACCCAGGATATTATTTGATCACAAAATGGGGTAGAATATAGATTCACCAAAGGAACAATCAGTTATCGACTAAATCAGGTGAAATAGCATAAAGACACAATTATAGGCATGAACATTGCATGCCAGGGGTCAGAGAGACATTCAGACACTCAGAGGCAGAGGAGAACACATGTCGTGCGATTGGGGGGGTGAGGATAAAGACATAGATTTATGAAAGACTTCTCAGAACTGTATAGTGAGCCCCATGAAGAATAAATATTGTTTATGTTTCTAAGCAATGGAATTAGAAAATGACATCATTCTTCTGCAAAGATTAATCATATCTGTGTCCTAAAATGATTGAAAGGGGATAGAGGTGAGAATTGGAATTAATATTCACAGATTTCAACTGAACTAATGCTGAGAAAGAAAAGAGGATGGAGAGGAAAGTATAAATATGAGACATTTTGAAAGAAGGCGCAGTCGAGCCTTACCATATAGCTAAAGAAAATGGAAGTGAAAACACAGTCAGCAATATGCCAGCCTTACAAATGGCTAAATATCTCTAATGAGTAATAAAATGCTCACCATGTTTTCTTAGCTCTGCCACCTTGATGTTCAATGAATTTATTCATTGAAAGGCAATGTGTCACTGCCAAGCTAGTGTGTAGGAGGCCACCAGGTAACAGGGAAGTGATCTTTCCTGACACTGCTCTCACACACAGGAGCATACACCTATTACACACACAGGGTCCCCTGGGTGGCTGCAAAACAGGGATTGATGTGTTTTCATTATGTTGGGAAGAATTTCAGTTTCCCAAAACTTATTCTGTTATTCATTTACAAAATCCCTTCTTTCAGTTTCATGTCATATTTCATCTCTCCTAACAGCTGCCATTCTCCAATCTTCTATTAGACTCAGAAAAGTCTGAAGCATTGATACCTAAATCATTGGTTCCTCTGTATGCCATGATCAGACAAAAGGAACTAGGGTCTGCCTCCGAAATCTGAAATCTAGTGTTTTGTAAGACCACAATCTCTAATTCTCTTCATCTCCCTTACACCTGTGGTCCTCTTTGATAATGTCTCAGTAACCACCAGCCATTTCTTCCTTCAATAAAAGCACTTCATAAACAACTGATGCCCTTCATTTTCTTGCAAATCTCCTCTCATGTCAACAAAGCCAGGCTACAATCCTGAATATATGCCACAATCTACCACCTCCCTTTACCTATTTGGGATATACTCTGAGAACAGCCATGATTGTTAACCTTAGTTCCTCAAATCTACTTTCAGTATGTCCACTCGATGTCTGAAAACTAATGTCAGTCTGCCACTTCCTTAAATATCTATTAATGATTGCTGTGACTCCTGTGTATATTCGTGTTTCTTTTCACTGAAACATGAAGGGTTAAATCTAATCCCTTACTTAACTAGAAAGCAGCTCTTACACTCCACCTTCTTCCAATTTCCTCTAACATTTTTTACTTCTCTTTTCTTCACCAGTGCCCCTCTGCTCTACCCTTGTGCAATATGCAATTCTTCTTGAATAACAGTGTCTAGAAGTTTTCCAGATTGAGTATTGTAATCTGAGAATTACAGAAAGATTTAGAACTTGAAAACTTTGCTCCCTTGTTTAAGTAAGTATTAAATAAATGAAAAAATGAGGATAAATGTTAAGATGTATATGTTTATATATATTTGGGTTATACATGTTTGATAATAAAGGAAAAGGAACTTTAAATTGAATGTAATATCATCTTTACATCTGAGGATTGTAATCTTTTTTACCTGAGACAGCAAATTTCAATATACTTCCTTCATTCTCTCATCAGAGGGATTATCATACGAGTTTTCTTGACCTGAAAAGTAACCTTTAGCTGACAAATGCATGTAAGAAAATGAAAAACAGCGGTGTTTCTATTCTTATTTATTTTTCCTAGTCTCTTCTAGTGTAAAAATATTTTGGCCTTCATAAAACTATTGTTTTATATCTGCATATGTTAAGGAAAGCTTAAATAATTAAGGTACTTTCCTGATGTGCGCATACATATAAATTTAAAATTTAAGGCTGAGCAATAAAGTATTCTCTTTGAATTAAAGTGAACTGGCTGAAATGATTCATTAAGCCCTTAAAAATAATTCAGTCTATAAGAATATATACTAATGAATATTTCCTAGATAGCTTGCAAATTAAGTTGGAAAAATCTACCAAGACATAACTATCCATCAATGAAGAATTCTGATGAGGCCGGGGATTTAGCACAGTGGTTTCGTCACCTACTGTGCAGGCGCAAGGACCTGAGTTCGATCCCCGGTACCAAAAAAAAAAAAAGAGTTCTGATGAATCATATATAGCCAAGGTTTTATTATAGAAGTTCATTAACACATGGAATTTACTTTATTGCATATGTTTTGAGTATATAATTGGGAAGCTCATAAAACCACTGATTTTTACACACACAGGTTTTTCATTTTCCTAAGTGTACTATTAAATTTCCAAAGATAGAATTTTGTCAGAACAAATTGTTAACAAAGGAACAAAGATAATACAGAGTTTGGAATGTCTTTTGTGGAAATACCAAAATCTTTGCTTCCCTTTGTACTTGACTTAATGACACCAGTCAAATAAAATCAGGCTCATTTATGGCTCAAAGAACATCAAGAAATATCATTTATCCATTCTCTGTATGCAGATTTAAAAAAATAAGATGTACATTTATTGCATAGATTTAAATTATTCACTTTTAAATTAAACTACAACAATGTCTAATAGTCTGGAGCTATTAGTCATTTTTGATATAAAATTTTAGGTCTCAGGTAAAAATTTGGGTGATATACAGAGAAATGGGTGTGAGTTCTAGATAAATGTATTTAAATTAGAAATAAAACAGATCTTTACCTATTAGGAAAAAAGAAATGTTAACTGAATACTGGACTTTTTACCTGGACACTGTTGAGGTATTATGGCCAGTTTGTAATGAAAATGATTGATACTCCAGCATCTGTCCAAAAATTCTGTGGCTAGTAAGCAGGAAGGGCGGATTTTGGAATTCGTATTTGTCTGAACCCAAAGGCTTCATATTTTCCACTATCGATTTCCATTACAACTACTACTTTTCTGTGGTATTATCTTATTTTAGAAGTATCCATTATGTAATCATTAAGTAGCAAATCACTTCTTGATTTATGATGAATATGTAAGCAGTGTATAAGTTAGTAAATTTTAAGACAGCAAATGGAAATTTGTAGCAGACATCTGTAGAAATACCCACAGACAAACATTCTTCTGAAAACTGCTTACAGAAATAAATGGAGAGGGCCAGAATATTGCCAGAAAAAATAGAGAAAGATGCTAGGGTATCTTAGGATTCATTTGTTCCACCTATTCTTTCTGTTCTTTTGTTACTGTTTGGTTCTGGCTCCATTTACTGAAAACTTACCTTCTCCACAAGCTGCAACTATGGTCATACACAGTTTTTAAAGGTATGATGAAATCGGGTTTCAACCACCCAACCCTGTCTCACAAAACTCTTAGTAAAGCAGGCAGATCTGTCCAGGGCCATGTGTCCCTCCTCTAGACTAAGCACATTCTAGGCAGGGATCTAAGGAACCGTGACTGGCTGAGTTTGCATGAGATGATTATCTTTTAACCACACTCTTCTTGCCAGGAAAGAAAGCATATGTAAAAACTCAAAACCAACCAAACAGAAAATAAGTAAGGCTGTACTCATTAAAAACACTTTCCTGGAAAGAGGACAGCAGAGTACTACCCTGGAAAAGCAAGGTAATAAGTATATCTTACATATTCCAGTATTTCCTCATTTGCTTAATACAAATGAATTCCATTGTCACCAAAAATGTTTAAATTATTAAATCACATTTTTATGTAAGACAAGCTATCCTAAAAAAGGAACCCAAAGGACATAGAAAGTTCCAAATATAGAATGTTCATTATCATGCAAAAGTCAGTGTCTTTTGCCACCTAGCATTTGCTTTGCCCCTCATCCTCATGATACCCAGCCCAGTTTTCACAAGTGTTCATTCTTTCAAAGTCCTCTCTCCCTCTGTGACCTCCAGGGTGAGCGTGATTGTCTTAAGGAATTCCCATTCCATTTAGCTCAGTTCAATGCCCCAAACCTGAGCCAGTCAGTGAGTAGCATTCTATGGGCCCCAGAACTCAAGTACCAGGATAACTGTAATTCATAAAAATGAAATTCCAGGCCGCGAGTCGCGCGGAACACACCAAATCAGCCCGCTGCAGACAGGCAGGTCTGCGGACACCCTACCGAGGTCTCAAGTCGTGTGGAACATGCCGAATGAGCCCATGCCCCGGCAACAATCCACTGGACACCACCACCACCACCACCACCCCCAAACAGCTCCTCTGGTCTATCCTTCTTCCCATCTGTCCCTCCCTCCCCAACTCTTTCTAACTCCCTATCCCAGAGGGTAAAGTTGTTATATTGAAGAGTTTTTTCACTATATGTTGGGTTGGTCCTCAATCTTGATTTAATTCACACAGCTAAAGGTGATAGATTAAAAACTACCACAAAATGTCATTTTTGAAGATGTACTTGATGCAGTGGTGTTGCTGATTGTATCACTTGGCCTAAGGTGTTGTGATTGATCTAGTCAATGAACCTTCCTAGTATAAGGAAAATGAGATAGCCTTAGAGTCATTAGAGACTCAAAACTTAAAGACCAGCTATATCTGGAAGACACCTCTGAGAAGCAATCATTCCATAAGGGTTCTAATTATGAGCAACAAAGATACCTACAATAAGCAATTTCAAACTATCAACCCAGGAGTTAAACCAAGGACAGTGCCAAAAACAAAAATGAGAAGACATTTAAGCAAGGCACAAACTCAGACTTCCACCCCACCAAGGATAAATCCTGGGGGAAATGAGATGGAAATGTCCCATAACCAACCACCTGGACACCCTGAACTAATAGCACAGGAAGTAACAAAACAGATGAATGAGGCTCTAGAAAAATTCCAAGCAGAAATAATCTCCCAGATATCTACAGAGATGGTGAGCAGAGTGAAAGACATGATTAGAGGATCTAGAACAGAAACAGATAAAAAAATAGATGAGCTCAGAAACATGCTGGAAGCCATGAATGCCCAGCATAAGAAAGAAATGGAAACTATGATCGCCCAACATAAGAAAGAAATGGAATCCCTGAAACAGATTCAAACAGATATTCAGGAGATCAAAAACTCCATTGAAAGTATCCACAGCAGATTAAGGGAATCTGAAGATAGAATATCAGATATAGAAGACAGGATTGTGGTTAGAGACCATGAAAATAGAGATTTCTTAAAAATAGTAAGGGACCACGAGAAATCAATCCAACAACTGCTAGACGATGCAAAGAAGAATAACATAAGACTGATAGGAGGAGTCCATGAAAAAACAGGAGAAAGCACAATTGACATTAAAAAAAACCTGTTCACAGAGTAATAGTGGAAAACTTCCCAGACAGAGGTAGAGAATTGGACATACAGATAAGTGAAGCATATAGAACTCCAACTAGCCATGATCAAAAAAAATCTACATCTAGACATATAATAGTCAAGATCCCAGAAACCCAACAGAAAAACAAAATCCTACAGGCAGAGAAAAGAAACGAATCACCTATAAAGGAAAGCCCATCAGAATCACGGCAGACTTCTCAACACAAACCCTCTAATCAAAGAGAGCCTGGAGTGAAGTATTTCAAGCCCTAAAAGAAAATAACTTCCAACCTAGACTGTTGTATCCTGCAAAATTATCTTTCAAAATCGATGGGGAAATTAGATACTTCCATGCCAAAGAACACCTGAGAAATTTCATGAACACCAAACCGACACTACAAGCAATTCTAAACAATATCCTAGAAACAAGTAATGAAGGCCACAACTCCATGAGGCCCAACAGAGGGAAGCCACCAGGCAAGATAAGACACTAAAGGGAAAGGGGGGAAAAAATAAGAAATAAAAGAGCCAACAAAAATGAAATTCCAGGGAGTTTTTCTGGGGATAATGGAAATGAGGTTTGGGGGTTTTATAAGAAAGAATTAATGAAAATGAAGTTTCCTGCTCTGCCCCACATCTTGATTTGTGGACAGAGAAAGTTTGGAAGTACTCCAGGCATTTTGCAACCATAACAGAAGGCAGTCCTGGGACTGGAATCCCTGGAAGGGCACAGCTAAGGAATCACAGCAAAATAAAGCCAACACCACTATATTGGGAGAAGGAAAGTTTTCCTACCTCTTCATATCCAGCTACGTCAACAAATACATGTCTATCTGATTGGAGTTATGTATGATCTTTTCTTCTGTTGTATATACAATAAAATATCTTGAGACATATAACTTTAATTAGATGTTATTGAGAACAACCTAAATGATCAGGCAAAAATTAATAGAAAACAAATCTTCTAATATTTGAAGAAGTATTTTGCATATTTTAGGCATTATAACCATGAGGACTTTTTGTTAGTCTTTAAGATTACAAATAATTTGTTTTGCTTTTTATTACTTCAGTTATTAGTCAGCATATGGCAATCCTATATAAGTATCTTATACTCTGTTGTTAATGTTGTTAGGTCTCAATATTCTGACAAAATTAGGAATAAGGTATTCCACAAAATAGACTACTTGGATTATTGATTCTGTAAAAAAAATAATAGCTAAGTTTTTCTGAGAATACTTTTCTAGTGTATAAAATACTTCTTGCCTTATTGAAGCATGGTACATAATTTAATGTTTTACTGATGACTCAAGGTCATCATTGTGCATACCAAATGTACAGTGTATGATAAAGTAATTATTTGAGGCGACATTTGCCTCAAGTGACTACACCTTTTTAATTCTTAGGTCAGTTTGTTCTATTTACTTTTTACAATTCTTCTGTATATTTTATGGTTCCTCTGCCTTGCCCCTTTCTGTCAAACTGTCAGTTGTCATTTCTTGCTGCTCTCTGATGGCCCACCAATATGGTCATGCCCTTCCTAATTTTCTGCTTCTAAATTATTCTAGATTAGAAAGTCAAATATTCCTGCTTTTTAGAACTGTATCTAAAAAAGAAGTCAAGAGTTTTTAGTAGGGGTATGTGTGTCATATACCAAGTTCTGAAACAAGGATATTGAGTTATTTCATTTGAGATACCTAAATATTTAAGACAGGTACAGTCTTAGTGTTTGTTAATTGAAAAATAAAAAGATCACTTGTAGATGAAAGGTTTTTTTCTGTTAAACCTTATAAAATAAAGGATTATGATGAGCAATATTTACACAGAATTAATTTGGATTTTTCCCTGAAGTAGGCTTGTTGTCACATAACATTTAAATTTTATATCTGTAAAGAGTCTTACAAAATATGCATTGGCCAAGATCTCATATGATCCTTTAGCTCACAAAAGGGACCTAAGTATCAAGGCTCAGTGGTTTTTCTCTTATTTACGCAGCTAAAACTGGAGATGGTATGCTATCAGTACATTGTTTTCTATAGTGCCTGGATTTCCCATGTGAAAACATCTAAGTAAACCTGGTCTTCACTAATATTACACATATTGTCAGCTGATGGATGTTTTTGAAAGAAAAGCAAATTATTCACTAATTATTCTTTAAATCTCTAGGACCTTGAGCGTTTTTGGATGGATGAGTACCTAAACATCAACTTGAAACTCCAAGAAGACCATATGGGAATAATGCCTAAATTGTTTATTCAATGCTTTAAACACAGTTATTTTTGTCATCTTTAATGTATCTACTTTGTTTAATAGCAGCATTTAGTCATTGTTCTTCACTGGCTAAGGCATATAATGTGCTGTCTCGTGTAACCAAGTGTCATTAGAAGCAAAATCTTCAATATCTAATTTACTAAATCTAATTTTGCAGTTTTCAATCTGAAATGCAAATTTATAAATTTATAAACATTTCACTTGGTGAAATTTCATAGAAAGGTTTTAAAATCAAATCTTTTTTTTTCCTTTGCTAAGTAGGATGAAACTGATTGTTCTGTGTCTTGTGGAGTTTGAGCTCCTAAACAAAAATTCAGTGAGAGGATTCTAGAACTCTTTGGTATATAAGAAAGGTACTTGCTTCATGGGAAATTTTCCTCAGACTCAGCCCTTGTGGATTATCCTTTAAAATGCTTTCATCACTTTTGCCTTGCTGCCTTCGATTGCAATGAGCCTAACCCTTGAATGTTGCTGAATTTATAGCTCTGTAAAACAAACTCTTCTGGCATTTCCTACACACAATTGGGTTTCTTAGCTGCTCAAAAGATTTGAGCTACAGTAGTTTGTTTCATTATTAAAGACATATGATGCCTGTTGAACAGATTTCCCCTTGGGCAACAGAGCTGATAAAAGAATAAAGAATTTCAAGAATCTGTATCTCAAAAATAAATCCCAAGGTATCTTTTACTTTTTTTTGACTTGGGGGGAAGCTTACAAAATAATTTCCATTTTTATTTAGCTTTGTACTTATTATGGAGCTGTGGGAGAACACAGCATTTACCAGATGAAATTGTGCCATTTGAAATAAACATGTGTTATTTTAACTTTTGGCCTACATTTGATGACAATAATGAGACCTTCCTAAAAATGAGAACCTGAAGTCAGCCCTAATCGGAACCATGATTGCAGTTAGTATAATTCCAAAGGAAGCGAATGTGGCTACTCTTCAATGTTTCATACTCCTTCCTTGAACATAGTCTTTACATTAGGTAATATTTTGTGTGTGTGTGGTCACTTGTTTTAATGGTCACATCTTACATTCACCATAATGCTTTAATGTCAGTCCTGTGGTTCTGTGATCTTAGTGTCATAGTATTAAATCTATCAGACTGCTCAGCCCTTTGCAAGCAACTGAGAGACAAAGACTGCAAACTACAATGAAGTACTGCATATTTGTTTGCCCAAGGAAAAAGCCAATCCTAATTTAGATGTGCTTCTATTTACTAGGCTACTTGGCTTTCCATGGGCACATTAAATGACCAAGAGACTCCATTTGTTATTGAAAAGGACAGGAGCTGAAATGAAAAGGGTTAATTTGCAAAGGTAGGACATCTGTTAGAAATCAGCCCAGAAGCAGGAGCTGGCTGTATTCCAAGAGTGGTTTTTCATCTGCCATGGAGTTGGCCATTGACAGTTAAACTTGGATCTAAACTTCACAAGGCAGAAAAACACATTCTTGAATTTAACATTTAGTTCTTTTAGCTATCCAAGCTGAAGGTGCTAGAGCTATACAAAAAAAAAATGCAGTAGCTATACAGAGAAGTTGCTGTAGCTATAGCTTTACAGACAAATTGTGAAGCAATACAGAATTTCACTTGAGATGAAGTCCCCAAACTTTCCTAAATCTGTTTGTATCCCAGCCATTAGCCTAGGCTTCCATTAAGGGCCTTACATAAATGTATGTTCAGTAGATAGTTGTTAAATGTAAAAACTCGAAATTATTTTCTTTATTAATTTTATTGGTACATTTTAGGTATACAATATAATGACATTCATCATTGGAAATTTGCATATTTACATAAGCTCTCTTGGTTCTTATTTTTTCCTCATTCTTCTGCCCTCCCTTCAACCCCTCCATCCCTGCCTATTTACAAAGACTTTGTTTCCATTTTTGCATTTTCTCATATTAATTCCTTTGCCCTCCCCCTCCCACTTCCCTTTCCCCTTTGCCCCTTTTCTTCCTATTTCACATTATCTATTATACCTTTTAGTCTTTATTTACACTTTCAGTTTCTCACTCTCGAGAAACTATTCGGTATTTACACATGTGTGTCCTATTTATTTCACTTACAAGTATCACTTCAATGTGCATCCATTTAGCTATAAATGTCTCTGATTTCTCATTTTTATGGCTGAGTAGTACTCCATTTTATTAAAAAAAAAAAACACATTTCCTTTGTCCAGTCTCCAGTTGATGGGCACTTGGGTTGCTTCCAAGCTTTAGCTATTACAAACTCTGCTGTGATAAACATAGGTGCACATATATCACTTTGGTATGATTCTTTTAATTTTGGGGGGAAGATGCCCAGCAGGGGGATAGCTGGGTCAAATGGGACCTCCAGTCCTGGTTCTCCATACTTGAGGTATCTCCATACTGATTTCCACAGTGATTACACCAGTCTACACTCCCACCAGCAGTGGAGAAATTTCTGTACAATTCTGTCATGTAAATGGCTATGAAAAAGTATATTTCTTTAACTTAATTTTGTCCACAAGTTTTCCTTTGGATTGTTTCAGTTTTACAAATCTCTGTTTGGGAAACTACTAAAATAATAAAATCATGGAATTTTAATGGCTTTTGAAAGAGTCTTGTGTTTCCTTCCCTGGTTGAGATAGGGTCCTATACTTGTCCTTGAACCACTCATGATAAATCTCTTTGACTCCATATATTCTGCTTCCCATCCCTAACAGTGAGAACGCTGAAAGCAAAACTTACCAAAATTGTTTTAAAGAGAAAAAACAGAATTTTGGTTTCCAGAATAAAAATGCATGCTAAATGGACAAAAAAGGATGATTACTACAGTTTAAGGATATGCAGGAATTAAATAGCCATACTATGGTGTTTATTTTAATGGAAATCTTATTCTACAATTATTTTCTATTATTCTTTACCTTCTTCTCTAAAGCATGAAGATACCAGATTTCTTCTTGCAATGTAATTCAAAGGGTTGCTTATGTAAAATGAATCTAGAGAGTTTATCTGAGAACACCGAACCCAAATCTTGTTTGTCTTGTCAAAACCTCTGACACATGTGCTAGGATATGATACAATGTGTATGTTTTGACTTTTCAATATTGTTTCTTAGCCCCTAATGATAGTCGAATGAATGCATCACCAGGCTGTAATCAGTTCTAGGCTAGGTTTTAACAGTTTATGATGTAGTTTCTCTGAAGGAATTGTTAGATCAAATAATTGGCATTCTGATCTCTCAAGAATGTTTCATTTTTATAGTGATTAAAAAAGCCCATTTAGCTGATTTGTAAGCCTTGCAAGAACTTGCTTATTAGAAACTCATCAGAGTTCTATGCAGAAGGGCCATTTTATATGGGTAAAGGGTAAGAAGAGTTTAAATCTTTTTGAAGTTATTTTTTAGTCTTAGATGCAAATCACCCAATGTCTACATGTAAATTATCTCTGACATCACCTCGAGGTTAAACAAGCTTGTTTTTATTTCACATCTTGACCTCTGAACAAAAAGACTTTAAAACACATCACTGCCCTCTTGCTAATCTAAGACTTATCTTCTAATACCATTGCTTTGTAAAATCATACTGGAAAATAAATCATTATGCACTTCAATAAGCAACTTTCCTTAGTTTAAGAACTCTCCTTCTGAATTCTAGAGTCAGGGCCTGAGAGTCACGGAAAACAGTTGGACACCAATTTCCAGAGTACATTAAACAATTCATTTACTTTCCTAGCATTGAGCTCAGAGACTAGAAAATTCAATTATCCTATCCTCACTTGTACTGACTTACTCAGAGCCCCTTCCAGCTCCAGAATACACCATAAGAAAATAAAACTTTCTAGAGCACTCACATCTCTCACCTTCATTAGTATCTCTTTTGTCAAATTCTCCCTGGCTTGCTTGTCCTCATCCTTTTCTTGAAGACTTTTTGGTCTCTTTCTCAGTAACCAGTTCTATTGCAAAGGATACCTTACCTCCTTTGTTATAGAAAATATCCTTTTCTACTTTCTATCTCTTCTTTTTACTTTATTAAGTATATATCTAAATATTAGAAATGATTGGAAGATGTTTTTGCCTGAGATATTTTCAAGGTGGATATTTAACATCATGCAAGTTTGTTCTCTATCTCCTGTCTCTCTCCTTCTGTCTCCAAAAACTTCTGCAGTAGCTTGTTTATGTGTGGGGAACAAGGGACTTTCTTCATTATCAATGCTCCTAAACCCAAAATCTGTTTATCAGTCAGGAAAAAGTAAAAGGAAGAGAATCCAGAGAACTGGCTGTGACTCATAATACATGAGCAACTTCAAGGTGAAGGGGAGAGAAAGCAGATCCCCAGCCACTTTGGGGGACCCACAAGGACTATGGGTCTTCTGCTTTTTATATGTGGTCCTTGACCCAGTGGCTCTGACATAAAGATTTCAAAGATGTCTCCCTGATATCCTGGGTATCCCAGGTCCTGCACTGACATGGTGTCCTCCATTCTTTTTCTATCCAAAATTTCTTTCTTGTGTCTGCAGCTCTAATGACTAGTTGTCAAAAATATAACCAGAAATATTTTTACTTTTTCATAATACTGTATTTTCTTATTCTTACATATAGACATTTCCTTTACCTTACTACTGAATTTGAGCAATTATTTCTTGTGTTATGAAACACAAGATTATGGTTAAGGCCATAATATTGATGAGAGGCTAAAATCAAGTTGTATCTCCAACCATTACCAACTATGTGACCTTAGAGAAACTACTCAACCTCTCTGTGCTTCAAGGTCCTAGCCACAAAAGTAGAAAATAAACATAATATTACTGACTCAAAGGTTATTGAAATGATTTAGAGTCAATAACTCTTATCTAAAACTTTATCCAGAAGATATTCTTAGCTCTTTAGAGCTGAGAATTCTTTATTTTTAAAAGGAGAACCTATTGCATGTGTGTGTGTGTATGTGTGTATAGATGTGTTTATATTTCCCATGGTAAGAGTGTCAGGAAGCCTTGCATAGTGAAACACATCAACAATTATGTAGGGAGCTACACAAATACTGCTTCTAAATTGAATAAGTAAAGACTAGCAGTGGTTTTATAGAGATCAGGTCCAGTATTGGCATAAAAGGAGTTTAGGTCAAGTCAATTTTCGCTGCCAATTAAATTATAAAAAGCTATTGATAGCACTGCAGGAACCACGAGTATAGTGTTTAGCCAAGTGTTTAGCACATAGTAAGCCCCCCTCCCACATCATCTATTGTTATTAATCTCATCATTGAGAGAAAACATTTATTGAGTGGCCACCATGTTTTTAACTTGGTATATTTTATTATTCTATGCAACTTCTTGGTTAAAGTCTGGCACTCTTATTTCTTCTCAGAAGACCCTGATTAATAATAGTTTTTCTTTTTAAGAATATGAGCAAAACTTTCCAAACTTCAGGAGAGAAATATCAGTCAGAAGAGCTTTTCTTTAAAAAAATTCCTTAAATTTTTCCTTTCAGATAACTTTAATATATATAGTCTACATACATTTCCTATTCTATGATGGTAGAAGCTCCAGACAAAACTGGAAGTAGCTGTCCATCATGTCTTAAAACTTCACCCAGCCCAATGCCTCCTAAATAAGAATGGTTCACATTCTCTCAGTCCCCTCCATTAGTCCCTCCACTGCACTTGCTCTGTTCTCCTGACTCACCTGCCTTTTTTGTATGGGAGGTGATAAGCAGTAGGAACAACAAGTTTACCATTTTGCTTCCTTATTGTGCCACTGAGGAGTGGGCATTCCATATCTTCTACTGTAATAGAATTACATAATAGGTAAGTGTGTAGAACACTTTCATGAAAAGTTGCAAGACACAAACTATAGAATGCTCCTGTTCTTATTTTTTTCCTACTTAATTTAGGTAAATTATTCCCTTGGATTAGAGCAGATGAAAACTGGATCTCATCCACAGCTAAGGACAGTTCACTGAATCCTTATGCTCATAGATGAAAAGAACCTTATTGTAAGCCTGTTGGATCTGCACAGCTACCTTATAAATATTAAGCTTAGTATCCTGACTAAATGATAGGAGAGGCCATAATAATTTGCTTCAAAAAAATTTTTGTAAAACCCCTAGTTTACTTTTAATTTTTATTATTTTATTTTTACAGACCAAATAAAAGAAATAACTTAGTTTGTAAGTATTGTAGCCATTGTTTTGAAATTTTTTATTATTAAATAATCACAAATTGAATATAATAAAATATATATAATTTATATGCACAAATATAAGTACATATTATAGAATGTAAATATATTTAGAGATACATATAGATATTTTCTATGAAAATACTTTTCTACTCAAAACCTTTGCTCAGGACACATCTCATTTATACACTCACTGAAATGTGAAATTCACTCAGGAGGCTACTTAATTTCTAGCCTAAATTACTAACATTCTGAACATTTGCCATGGTGCCCTTTAGAATAACAGCAAGTTAAACCTAAATTCTGTGGCCACTACTCCACAACGTAGATCAGGCTGTGAAACAAGCTCTTCTAGGAAAGCAGTTTTTCATGCTACATTATGGTGCTTT